TAAGACTGTGTATAGATGTTCCCCTCCCCCCAAAAAAATAGATTTAAAATTGGGGCTCGTCTTATATACGGGTAGTGCTGAGGGGTGTTTTCTTAATTTGGAGTCCCTCCATGGGACGTCTTATAGACAGAAAAATACGGTGTATTTTACATTCCAATTAACACCCCCCATGACGTCCCCCAACTTCCCTTTCTGGGTTATTGTTGTTAAATCGTTTAGTCATGTCCGACTTTTTGTGACCCCATGGACCAGAGCACGCCAGGCACTCCTATATTCCACTGCCTCCTGCAGTTTGGTCAAACTCATGTTCCTAGCTCTGAGAGCACTGTCCAACCATCTCGTCCTCTGCATATAAGTTAAATAAGCAGGGAGACAATATACAGCCTTGTTGTACTCCTTTCCCAATTTTGAGCCAATCAGTAGTTCCATATCCATTTCTAACTGTTGCTTCTTGTCCCACATAGATATTTCTCAGGAGACAGATGAGGTGGTCAGGCACTCCCATTTCTTTAAGAACTTCGAGATCTTGGTACAACCTTGATACAAATTTCAAAATATGTACACAAAACCAACAAAAAGACTCACAGGTTTATAGTGGCACCAGCTTTCCTAGTCAAGAGCCCACTTTGTCAGACTGCAGCCCACAAAAGCTTAGACCATAATATATTTATGAGCCTTTAAGGACTGCAAAAGATGAATAAACAGAAGCATAGTTTATCTATGGACTTCTATCCTACTGGAAACAGTGACGGCCAGCAACTTGGATATCTTGGGGAAAAATGATTAGGCTGGTGTCTGTGCTCTGCCCTTGCGGTCCTGGGCAATAATACTTCTTAATACTAGTTTCTGAAAAGCACAGGACTCTTGCTTGCTGGTTTCCCCCAGGCATCTGCTTGGCCACTGTGAGAACAGGATGCTGGACTAGGTGGGCCTTTTCCCAATCCAGCAGGCTCTGTTTAGGTTCTAATATGTTGCAATATTTTTACACTTACATGTGGCATCAGAACATTTCAGTTTTACTTCTTACTCATCAATCCTTAACTACAAACCAAGCAAAAGTAGTTCTTTCCCTGAAAGGCGCATCCAACCCACCCCAGAGCCTTAAAATTGTCTCCTGGAATGTTAACGGCTGGGCGACAAAGCAAATGGATCCTGAGGCAATAAACTTTATCTCTTCTTTTGACATTGTGTGCCTCCAAGAGACCTGGTCCCAACAAAGTATCACTCTCCATATTATTGTTCCTTTAGCTCCTGTGCTCGCAAACTAGCTAACAGGGGTCGCCCTCAAGTTGGCCTCGCCTGTCTTATCTCAACCAGCTTATCCCTCACTATCTGCGAGGAACTTAAATCTTCCCCTTACTTTCTCACTATAAAGATCCACCTTCCAAAGACCAAAAGCCCATGGTTGATAACTACAGTATATCTGCCTCCAGCAATTAATGATTCCGACCGTAATGAAAGGTGGTCTGAACTTTCGTCTTGGCTTCATGACCTTCAAACAACTAACCCAGGACTTCCTCAAATCCTCTTAGGTGACTTTAATGCAAGAATAGGTCCCAACGACGATGCTATATTATCTTCCGCAGCACTTCTGGACAATCCCCTGCAGCACCCCTGGGGAAATAGATGCTCTCTTGATCCCATAACAAATGCGTCGGGGAGGCTGATGGCCCAATTGGCCATCGAAAACGATCTTTGCATCGCAAATGGCAACGTTACTCCCTTGTCCTCGCAGCAGTTAACGTGCATCTCTTCCCGGGGGACCAGTGTTGTCGACTACATTCTATTGACGCCGGAGCTATTCTCAATTTCTACAAAAATGGAAGTGGCTGAATATTTTGGTGGTGACCACCTTCCATTGACTTTAATGTTAAGCCTAATAGAGCCATTCTCAGTCCCCTCGAACTATAGTTCCACCGTACAAAGCTACCCTGTATATAAAACAAAGAAATGGACAAGCCTCAGCTCCTCTCTTGCCCTGGACATACAAAAATCACTTGATATGCCTACAGTTCTTTCTGACTCAATTCCGCCCGCTGACCAATACCGGAAATTAATTGATGCTTTTTCAACAACTTACATAACCATTACCTCGCCTACCCACCAACGCTTCTTCTCCGAATCACCCTGGTTTGACAAGGAATGTAAAGTCCTAAGAAGGCGAATTAGGAAAATGGTCAGAATCATCAAATTTTCCAACGACCCCCAAACCCGTGCAGAGCTTCTAGTTACTAAAAGGACATACAGAAACATGATTCATTGCAAGAAACAGCAACACATCCTTGAGGCTTGGTCCACTCTTCGTTCAGCTGTAGAGAGGCATGACTCCCGCTCCTTTTGGCGCTTAGTTAGGCCTTCGGCACCACCCAATTCAGCTATCCTGATTTCCGCTGACGAATGGATCGCTTATTATTCGGCCAGTTTCGCTTCTCCAAATAATCTTACAGATCACTTTCAATCCCCGTCGGACCTCTGTTCCCGTTCTCCTAGCTCCACCTCCTCAGTAAATTTTACCTCAACCCGCATCTTCAACATCATAATGTCCATGCGTAGGAATAAGGCCCCCGGCCCAGACATGGTCCCGTTGGACCTTTTCCTGACTGATCCTCTTTGGTGGAGTGAACAGCTGACTTCTGTATTCACCGCTATCTCCTCCGCCTTAGACATCCCCGACTCCTGGAGAGAAGCTACAATAGTCCCGATTTTCAAAGGCGGCCAGCCAAACTTCCCTAGGAACTATCGCCCCATCAGTTTACTATCTATTCCGGGGAAAATATTTGCCGCTGTCTTACTGGAAGAACTTCTTTCATGGGTCCATGAGAGAAACATTCTACCGCCAGAACAGATTGGCTTCCGGAAGTCAGCATCAACCATGGACCACTGTCTAACTCTTTATCACCTTGCCAGTAAATACACTGCACCAAGGCAAGGCCACCTGTTTGCCGCTTTCATGGACCTGGAGGCCGCCTTTGATTCCATTCCTAGACAGAGATTATGGTCCAAACTTGCCCATTTGGGAATTGATCCACACCTCCTTTCCCTAATTATTTCCCTTTATTCAAACACCACAGCTCGCGTTCGAATTGGTCCCAACGGCTACCTTACCACCCCATTCCCAACGGCCAGGGGCGTCCGACAAGGTTGTCTCTTGGCCCCTTTACTGTTTAATCTTTATCTTCATGACGCCCTTTCCCCTTTGAAGCTAGCAACTAAGTACCCTCCTCACTTAGCAGGCCACCCCGTTGCTTCCCTTTTCTATGCGGATGATGCCGTCATCTTATCCAGAACAGCTGCGGACCTAGCAAATGCAGTTAATGCATTTATCGCCTATTGTAAGGCGGAAGCTCTTAATATTAATTATAAAAATCGAAAGTTCTCCACTTCACTCGTTCCCGCAAACTCAAGCTGGAGCCGCTTAAGATCACAGGTGGCTACTTAGAAAAGGTAAAAGCCTTTAAATATCTAGGCTTAATATTTACTTATAATCTCTCCTGGACCACCCATCTACAATCTGCCTCTCTTGCTGCAACTACAACCTCTAATGCCATTGTCCGATTTTATCACCAGAAGGGCGGCAAACACCTTCCAGCAGCAATTCAAATGTTTAATGCCAAAGTTGTCCCTAAACTATTATATGGCTGCGAAGTATGGACTACAGCAATATCAGGTAACTTGGATCGCCCACTTCACATGTTTCTGAGATCTCTTTCCGGCATCCCAAGATGTGTCTCCGGTGCAGCCTTACGTCTTGAGTTCGCCCAGCCCTCAATTGTAAAACGAGCATGGAGTCGAGCCATTTCCTACAGCTCCCACCTACTACCATCGGATGCTCGAATTAGAGGTGGTTTCTCCAATCTGATCCTAAGAGATATTCATAATTCTCCTTGGAAACTACAATTAATCTCAAATTCCGCTCTCTTCTCAATTTGAACCGCAAAACTGTTTTTAATTTAGAGTGTATAAGCCTGGCAGCCCTACCTCTAATCAAAAAGAAGCTGCAGCAACTTGACTTCTCTAACACAGCTTCCCATGCAAGAGGGCCGTGTTCAGGCTTAGCCCTAGCTATTCCACCCCCTGAAGGGATCCCTCTATACTGCTTTACAATTCCTTCGGAGGCTAAACGAAGGGCCTTTACCTGTGCCCGTCTCAACTGTTTTCCTACAGCAGTTCTGTCGGGTCGTTACTCCAGAGTTCCCAGCGCAAATAGAACATGCTCCTGCAATGACACGGTTCTGGAGACTATGGAACATGTAATGCTCTTCTGTCCCAACTGGACAGATGAAAGATCTCGGTTTCCTAACTCCTCTCGTGAACAAGCTTCATCTCCCAATCCAGCCTTGGATAGTGTCCCTTCTTCTGCAGGATTCTGACCGTTGGATTACCGAGATGACAGCTAATTTCCTGTTTAGTGTGATGAAGAGGAAAGCGGCACCAACTCCTTCCTCAATACCACAGATGTAGTCGATACGCCGCACAATCGAACCTGTTTTTTGTATTCTCTGTCACTCAATGTTTTAAATCTCCCGTTACCTTTGTTATCCCCATTTTCTCAAAGTATTCGCCAGAACGGCATACACTTTTATCTCCCCACCCCCATTCTATGTTGTTATTTCTATGTATATTATGCTATGGCCGCATGGCTAATGCAATAAAATCATTTATTATTACTTCTTACTCATAGAGAGACTGCTATTGGAGCCTGAGATCCTTTTCTCACTTGAAAAGGAAAAAGACAGATGTGTCTTAAAAACCAGTTCCACTGTAGATCTCTACTATAAAATGATGCTGCTCTCTTAAGTGTGAATGGAGTGTTCATGGGTTTCTCTTGCCATTATCTCACCCTCATTCCTAAAAATTTGGAACATGGAGAGGACAGTTGAGAATGGAGAGGGAGTGAAATAAGAGAAGGTGCACATGGGAATTGATGTATGTTCAGTTCCTTTCTTGTCTTTCATAGAAGTCTACAGGATTCTCTCCCTCCCCCCGCAACTCCCAAACAGGTCAGGAAGACGATGGTCAAGATTCTACAGAGCCATCTGTGAATTCATTGGGAAAAACAAAAAAACAGTTTAAATGCAGGGAATGTGGAATGTGCTTTCGTCACTGTAGAAAAATGAGGATACACCAACAAACTCACACAGGGGAGAAACCATTTGAATGTATGGAGTGTGGATGGAGCTTCAGTCACACTGGAGCCCTCAGAACACATCAGCGAACTCACACTGGGGAGAAACCGTTTAAATGTATTGAATGTGGAAAGAGCTTCAGTCTGAACGGAACACTTAGAATACACCAACGAACTCACACTGGGGAGAACCATTTAAATGTATTGAATGTGGAAAGAGCTTCAGTCTGAACGGAACACTTAGAAAACACCAACGAACTCACACTGGGGAGAAACCATTTAAATGTATTGAATGTGGAAAGAGCTTCAGTCAGAATGGAGCACTTAGGAGACACAACAACTCACATGGGGGGGAACCATTTAAATGCATTGAATGTGGAATGAGCTTCAGTCGTTGTGGAGCCTTAGAAGACATCAACGAACTCACATGGGGAGGAACCATTTAAATGCATTGAATGTGGAAAGAGCTGCAGTTATAGTGGAGACTTAGAACACAACGAACTCACACTGGGGAGAAACCATTTAAATGTATTGAATGTGGAAAGAGCTTCAGTCACAATGGAGCACTTAGACATCAACAACACACTGGGGAGAAACCATTTAAATGTATGGAATGTGGAGAGCTTCAGTCAAGGAGCACTTACGATGCATCAACGAACTCACACTGGGGAGAAACCATTTAAATGTATTGAATGTGGAAAGAGCTTCAGTCTGAACGGAGCACTTAGAACACCAACAACTCACATGGGGAGAAACCATTAAATGTATTGAATGTGGAAAGAGCTTCAGTCGTTGTGGAGCCCTTAGAAGACATCAACGAACTCACATGGGGGAGGAACCATTTAAATGCATTGAATGTGGAAAGAGCTGCAGTTATAGTGGAGACCTTAGAATACATCAACGAATTCACACTGGGGAGAAACCATTTAAATGCTTTGAATGTGGAAAGAGCTTCAGTCAAAGTGGAAACCTTAGAAGACATCAACGAACTCACACGGGGGAGAAACCATTTAAATGCATTGAATGCGGAAAGAGCTGCAGTCGTGGTGAAGACCTTAGAACACATCAACGAACTCACACGGGGGAGAAACCATTTAATTGCTTTGAATGTGGAAAGAGCTTCAGTCAGTGAAACCTTACATACATCAACGAACTCACACGGAGAAACCATTTAGCTTTGAATGTGGAAAGAGCTTCAGTCAGTGGAACAGAATACATCAACTCATACAGGCAGAAACCATTTAAATGTATGGAGTGTGGAAAGAGCTTCAGACAGTGTGGAGACCTTAATATTCATGAGCGAATTCACCCAGGTGAAAAGCTGTATCAGTGTATGCAGTGTTCCACTCAAGTTTCACTCTTTACTTCACATCAAGAATCTCATAAAGGCGGAAATCAATTTTAAATGCATGGAATCCAAGTGATGTTTTGGTGTTTGTATTTAAATTTGTATACACTTATATATGTATTAAAGTAACGAAGGTCAGATATACTAAATGTAGAAAAAAGTTGCAAGTTGGAATGCTCAATGTGTGTGATGAATCTGTTGACTTTTGACTTCTGCCCTTCACTGCCAAAATGATGGGCTGCCCTTGTCTTGTGGATCAGCATCTGTCGGCTTCAGGGAAATAAATAAAAGCATTATCAGCATTTAAAAAGAAATGCTAGTGGATCTTCAAGGCAGTGAGTTACAAATTAAGGCAAAGATCAACCATTTCTTCTGCAAGCTGTTCCCCATCCAGTATTTCCCAGCTGATGTCATCAGTTTTGCTAATTGTAGATATCATAACATGAGTATCTGCCAATCTGTAATCTCTGTGAGCATTTCATTTTTCCAGCTCCTTGCTATAAGGGTTCTAGCTGCTGTTATACCATAAATAAACAATGATCTTATAACTTTTTAA